GAATTACAAAAATCCTGCCTTTATTTTTCTTAGCCATGATTACCACCCACAACATTATGTGTTTATGCTTGTTCGTTCACTCTCTTCCTAATATTAAACTCCCTGCAGGCAGGCAGTAAATACTTGCTGACTGATGAATGGACGAATGGACAGACGGCGGGATGGAGGCCAACCAAACACAGTTTGCTGCCACTTCTCTGTATAAATTACTTCACCTCTAAGCTTCAGTTTCCTCGTCTTTAAAACAGAAGTGAAATATAATACAGTACATACTTCATAGGAATTCTGTGACAATCAGATGAAAATAATGCATTTAAGGGCCAGCCTGCCTTCTGGTGGGCCCTTGGGAAATGTTAGCTGGTGGACGATTTCCATCATTAGAGGTGTTTTCAGAGAGATGCTTCTGCCCTTCATTCATGGTTTAATCCTGCGTTTCACCAACACCCCCAGGGTTGAGTCATTTCCCAAGGCGCTTTCCAGCCCTCTGACTCTGAGACAGGACTCCTTCCCCAGAGGCTTTTCCACCGTCAGGGAAGTGAGAAGCGTCTTCAGGAGCGCCCCCCGCCCCCCCCCCGCCCCCCGCCCCCCCCCCGCCCCCCCGCCCTAAGCCTCGCTCCGTAGGCAAAAACCAGTCTGGAGAGTTTCACCGTCTGCAGGCACCTCCTTCTGCAGCATCTGCGGTTTCACTGCGGCCACGGTTCATGACAGCGAGTTATACCCAACATGAAAAGGCGCTGCTGACAGGTTTTCACAAAGGGACGCAGCTAAATAGCCACAAAAGGATCAAAAACCAATCTCGCCACCCAGACAGCCCGTGCGTCAAACGCGCACACAGCTCAGCGGTATTAATCAAAGAGCTGGAAATAGTTCTGTGGCTTCATGGACCAAGAAAGAAAATATAAAGCACCTTTAGGCCCTCTCCCAGCAGCCCGTCCGCCTGATGGGATGAAAGGGTCGGCGATGGCTGACGGAGAAGGGTCGAGAGCCCTGGCCTCGGGGCAGAGCCTGCCTTTTTAGAGATCACTCTGCAGAGAAGGATTCCGCCATTTGGCCCACATTTCCATCAAAAGTCTCTTTCCCAGGGTGACAAGTGGGCTTCTTAATCTATTTTTGCAGATGACAATGATAACTTGGGGAGCTTTGAAGAAAATCTTTGTCTAGACAGAAACAGCTCTGAAGTGTTTTGATATGTACCACCTGACAACGTGGTTGGCTTGCTTATAGCTGAGAAGCGAGCGCTGACTCATCCTAGGAAATGCTTTTCCAGTCTGATGGGACTCTCAAATTCAGCTTCAGGCTGAGAGCACCTGGGGGCAGGAGAATGACAGTTCAGCCCAGCTGTCCGGGGTTCGAGGTATGCTACTGAGAGATGAGAAACTGCGGCCAAAGGGGCAGACCGGAGCTAGATGAATAGGGAGCGTCTCAATTCTACTCCCTTCCAGATGCCGTTCATTTTTCCCAGGTTATTTTACTGTGCTTCCCCTGCTGTCCCCAGAAATTCCACAAAGGGAAGAAAAGAAGGTACTGGTTTTTTTCTCTCTAGCCCTTGATCCTTACTCTGCCCTGGATGCTCTGTTGAAGTTTTTCTACACGAGAAGAATATTTTTTTAACCTCAGAAGCCACAGACAAAAGGAAATTAATAAATTATTGAGCATCTATTATTTGCCTGACTCTTGGGCAAGGTGCATTGTGTTATTACCATTATTTCATATAACAAATGCTGGAGAACTTTCCAGAGTTCCCCCATCATCATGAAACTATAAAATATGAAGTAAGCATGACTATCATTTAAAATTGTGTCATCACAAGAGGAGACTTGTGCCAACTTTTTAACCCAAGTCATTAAAAACTGTTAATACTTTTGAAACTAGACATCACCGAAGGGACAAGACTAAACCCTGCCCGTACAGTCACACTGTTCATATAGCCTTCTTCTCGTTTTTTTTCCTTCACCCACTTTCTTAATTGGGTGGTAGCTTCTTATTTATTTATTTATTTATTTATTTATTTATTTATTTTTAGAGAGGGAAGGGAGGGAGAAAGAGAGAGAGAGAGAAACATCAATGCGTGGTTGCTGGGGGCCATGGCCTGCAACCCAGGCATGTGCCCTGACTGGGAATCGAACCTGCGATGCTTTGGTTCGCAGCCCGTGCTCAATCCACTGAGCTATGCCAGCCAGGGCTCCTTCACCCATTTTTTAATCAGCTTTTTTTTTTTTGCAGTTGAGTTGTAGAAGTTCTTTATTTTCTTACTTTTTCAGTTTTCAATTTTTTTTCAATTACAGATGAAAAAAGGGAAGGGATGGAGACGTACAGACTGGTAGTTACAAAACAGTCATGGGGATGTAAACACAGGGAATAGTTGTGATAATAACTGTGTGTGGTGCCCCTGGGTGCTAGAAATGGGAGGGGAGACACTGTATAAAGTACATGACTGTGTAACCACTGTGCTGCACACCTGAAACTAACACAAAATAGTATCAAAGGTAAACCCTCTTCTTTTCATCACTGTTTCCTGCCAGTGACAGACCCTGCCCCATCTTCTTCCCGACCTCAGCACCTACCTCAGTCTTCCCCTGAGACTGTGGCTCCACCCCCAGTTACTAGGACCTTCAGCTCCACTTGACTTCAGACTCCTTGAAGCCTTGTCACCTATGAGTCTCTGAATCAACTAGAACTTTCACCTCTAAGGTCTTAGGCTCAGCACTATCTGTGATATACTATCTTTTCCCCAAAATGGTTTCCCTAAGGGGGAAGATGATCTAAGATCATCTCAGCTCTCTTTTGTTATTCACCATGAAGCATCTTGAAAGGGCAGTCTTGCCTGGCTGGTGTAGCTCAGTGGATTGAGTGCAGGCTGCGAACCAAAGCATCACAGGTTCGATTCCCAGTCAAGGCACATACCTGGGTTGCAGGCCATGACCCCCAGCAACCTCACATTGATGTTTCTCTCTCTCTCTCTTTCTCCCTCCCTTTCCTCTCTAAAAATAAATAAATAAAATCTCAAAAAAAAAAAAGAGGGCAGTCTTCACCCTACTTCTGCTTCCTCATCCCACCCCTTTGATGCTCTGACAAGTGCCTCTAGTGACTTTTTATTGGCTAAGTCCAATGGGTCCCTCCCACACACACTCCCTGACACATCTGCTTCATAGGATATTGTCACCCACTCCCTCCTTATAAAATGGTATCCACGTTTCATTGCCAGGATCTCATACCAGCTTGCTTCTCCTTCTAAATTCTTCGTCCTCGTCGAAGACACTTCTTCCTCTGCACTCCTGCAGAGCGGGCCTGCCCCAGCTCTCCTTTCTTGTTCTCATCGCTCTTCTCCCTGGGAGAGCTCAGCCAGTCCCGTGTCTACCTATATGTGTATGAGTCAAGTCTGCAGTTGTTCTCGACTTCCTTCCTGACCTTGACATTAGCATTTCCAATTGTTGATGGAGAGGAGGGCCCATCAGTATTTCAAACCCGGCACCTCCAAAGCAAGACTTGGACCCTTTAAATCTGCTTCTCTTTCTGTGTTCCCCATTTCATTGGATGGGAACTTACTGGAGCTGTCTTTAACGTCTCCCTCTTCCTGGCCCGCCTTCCCCGTCTTCTGAGTTGCCAAGACCGCTCAGTGCTACTCCCACGCGGTCTCCCAGTCCATCCGCTCCTTCCTGTTCCCACAGCCCCGGGTCAGGCTTTCACTTCCTCTCCCAGCTACTGCAACACCCTACTGGCCTGCTGCTAGAGTGGTCGTCAACCCCAGGACTGGACAGTTTACCCTCTTTCCAAACACACAAAAAGGTAGTTTTTTCAGCAGTTCCCCATTGTCTAAAACATAAAGTTCAAGATTTTTTAACCCGGCCTTCAGTGCCATCTAGACCCTAGATCCGGCCATCCTGTTACTCAGCTTCTACCCTGTGAGCGCAGTCCCTGCTTTGAGACATCTCTGTGCCCCGTGCACCCTCTGCCTGCAATTCTCACCCATGTGCACCCCTCAGTGTGACAGCCCCGCAAGCTTCTCCTCCTAGTTCTCTACCCACTTGAAACTGCTCTGTATCCTCGTAGCATTTTTCATTTTGGACATCAGTCATGCCGCTTACACCTTTTTTCCTCGTGCTGGGGCAAAGCAGTCCATGTTTCCTCTAGACTGTAGGATTCTTTGAATTCTATTCAACAAAAAATAACAGAGCTTGTTTTTTTCAAAAATGAGGCATTGTGACAGCAACTAGAAGAATAAGCTGCCGCTCTGCGACTGGATCTTTCTGGTAGGAAAGAGGTTTCAGAAAGAGAGAGCGGCAGTATTATGCACAGGAAGTGGCCATGGCCATGTGGGCACGTCTTCTTGACCTTTGTTTCCCCCAGTCTCTGACTTTGCACATGTCAGATGAATGGCATTTTCGAGCTGGAAGGCCTAAAACATGATGCAACCGAATCTTCATGTGTCCTAACCTAGGGAACCGAGACCACAGAAGTTAGGGCTCTTCCAATGTCAGCAGGTCACTAAGTGGCAGAGTTAGGCCAGGGCACACTCTGCCACACCCTGACACTAACCCTCCTTCCTTGTATACCTTGGGCTGGGGTTGGGGTGTCACAGCAATTAATTAGGGTTATGAACCACAGGGACTGCTGGAAAAGCAATAAATTATCTTCAATGGCTATGTCTGGGCTGAGTGGCCCCCAAAACAGGGAAGATCTTGAAGGCCATGTAAATGTGTCTCTTTTCATGAATGCATCATTTCCATAGAACTCCCCTCTACTGCTTGTACATAGCTTGTTGGTAATTAATTTTGTGCACGTCTGGTATTTTCGCTGCAGCATCTTTGCCGTGGATATCTCCCCAAGCATTTTTACTGCAAACATGTTCACTGCCTAACTGACTGGCCACAAGCCAATTTTGCCATAAAAAGGATAAAATCACAAAAAGTAAAAGGGAGACATGAAAAAGAGCATAACAAAATTTAAAAGTTTATTGAGAACTACAACATATTTAAATACATTAAAACGTGTGTAGATTCATGGTAATAGTGTGCCAATAACTGATTTTTATTTTGCGGGTCGCACCTAAGCACTTGGCTTTGTTCTGTGGGAGATGTGGGCTGAACTCTCTTCTCCCTGCATAGCGGGTTTCAGAGTAAGAAACCAGCTCTCGGGGCAAATCATCCTCATCTGGAGGAAATGCTGTTGGCAGAGCATGGCCACCAGCACACCTGCTCGACACTGAATAGACCAGGATGAGGCCTAGGTGAAATTTACATGTAACATAGAGATGGGAGTCACTGTGGAAACTCCATTGGGAGAAATGAAACCAAACTGACAACTGGCTTAAATGCATTAAGCTCAGGGCTGAGCGTGGTTGATTCGTCAATGGGGAAATGAAACCAAACAAGCAAAAACCAAAAGTGTCAACCAGTTATATTTTAGCTTGTTTACAGCAAAATCGCCTTATGGCCAATTAGTTCTGTGGTGAAAATGTTTACAGCAAAAAATGACTGTGGTAAGGATGCTATGGTGAAAGTACAGTACCTAGAACCAATTTTCTTCTTTTTGACAGTAAATGGTGCTATGGTTCATTTAGCGTTCATTCACAGGAAAAGGGAAGATCGAACATTTTAAAAGGTTTCATTCCTGGGTTGGTGCTCCTCCTGTGAGCCATCAGGAAGGTTCCAAAAAAACTGCTTGATTTTTTTCTCCCTCTAAAAAGGTTATATAATTGAGCTGGGATTTTATTTTTTTTAAGGTTTCTCAAAATCATTGTCTTATTCTCAATAGGGCTTCAAACAAAACCACATTAAAAGTCTCTCAAGGCATTTTATCCAAAATAAAGGTCTCTTTAAAAAAATATAAAATAAAATTGCCCTTGTCCTTCTCTTTATAAGTCACTTATCTCAGCAAAGTATATTTGTTCACAGATTTTATACATTTATTTTAAAGAAGTAAATGAATAAACAGTATTTATTTTTTTCCTGCAGTTAAAAAGTAATCACATAGTCTGTCTAGATGAAAGAAAATACACTCTTATTATTACTATTCCTACTTTGGAAGAGAGAATAGAATAAAGGAATGGAAAGTGTGACTACTGCCCCACCAAGACCCCTAAAACAGTCTCTCAAGGTTCTTAGCAACTTGGTTAATTAACATTTCCTCCAACTCACCTAGGAGGATAACATGGGCGTTCTCCCCCGCCCCCACCCCAACTTTTATTTTTCCTAGTTAGTAAATGTATCTCACTTAGGCTTGCTCCATGGAAACCCCCACACGGAATAACAGCCTGCCTGGAGACCATAATGGACATATTACAGGAGAACGCAAGGCTGCAATTAAGTGACGAGTAAGAATAACGGCTCTTACATTTTGTTCACTCAAACCGATAGGCTCTTTCCCTGTTCTTAAGAAAGAGGAAAGTTTGGTTGTGAATCATTGCACATCATTTATCCGCGCAGCTGAAAGCGATAGAATACCATTATAGTCATCGTTATAAATATTAGTAACTATACTTTCTAACATGGGTTCAGCATCCCACGGGTCAAGTGACATTTGCTGGGAGAAAGGGAAGGCATGATAAAAGAGACAGCAAGCCTGGGCTTTGGGGTCAGAGAGAGCCAGGACTGGCTCTCAGCTCAACTAATTGTAGCAACACTAATCGGGGCAACGCAAGTAATATCTTTGGGCTTCATTTTTTTTTCCAAACCACAAAGTATGTGTAACACTCATTTCACAGATGTATGGAAGTTAAACAGAACAAATGTTTTTTTTTAAAAACCACTCAGTATAATTCCTGGCATGTAAAAGATGTTCACTGAATATTAGCTCTCCTCCATCGACACCTCTGTAAAAAGCAGGTAATAAAACCGACCTCATAAGGCCAATGTGGGGGTGAAGGGAGACAGATTTCTGAAAGGGCTCGCCCTTGACAGTTTTGCCCCTTTCTGTACTTCCTAACCCCACTCCCCAGCCCCGGACCCAAGCTGCCTGCATGATCAGCATGTTGGAAAATAACTTTAGAGAGAGGAAGTTTAACTTCTTGTGTCAGGTTTTTTTTTTAAGATTTTATTCACTTATTTTTAGAGAGAGAGGGCAAGGGAGAAAGAAAGAGAGGGAGAGAAGCAGCATCAGTGCGAGAAACGCTGAGCCTCTCTAACTCACCCCCACCTGGACAAACTGCAGCCCAGGCCCAGGCCCCAACCGGTGACCCCTTGCTTTGTGGGACAAGGCTCAACCAACACAACAATATGTCAGGTTTTTTAACTTATTTCTGGATTATTGTTTTGCAGAGAAAAAAAGCCCCGACCAGAGCTAAGTATTTTTAAAAGACTAGAACAAGCCACAATATGTCGCTAGATAATTCCAGTACACCTGGAAGTTGTCCTTGTGATGAACGTTTGAGAACGGACCAACCCCAGTCCGCCTGTTCAACCATCTAAGCATTTACTTTAAAAAAAAGTCACAGTGTCACTTCAATTTAACCAAAAATTGAATAAGAACCACAAGGGACGATGCAAGGAAAAGGAAAAACAAAACAAAACAAAACCAAAAAGCCAGTGGACAAAAACAACTGAAAGGAAAAATGTGTTCACGCAACTCTGCATCCTCTTCCAAAAAGATGATTGGCACTAACATCTGACCTGCTAAATTCTATGAAGTTTCCAAATAAACACTTCTTGATAAAACAGGATGTATCACATACAGAATGTCTGTGTCTTCTCTAGACCCACGGTTCACGTACTCCGTCAGCAGCACAGACTGGTCTGGCAGCACGCGCTGATAAAGGTGTTGTCTGGTGTCAGCTTCGAGTCCCCTTGACCCAATGCGCGGTGCCGATTACATTTCTAAAATAATTCCCAAAGGAAGGAATGCAGGAAAACATTCCTCTCATCTTAAGAACTGCCATTTACTTATTTATTTTTGGAAAGTTCTTCTTCGGTTAAGGTTGGGTTTATTTCAGTATTTATGTATATCATTTACGCACCAGTGACGGCGGGAAATTCCCACTGTCACTGCCCTTTGAGTTTTTAGAATGAGGTGCTCCGAATCTGGTGCAGTTTGCACTGGAGAAGTACAGAAGAGTTTCCTTAATAAGCACCTTTAAATTGCAGGCACACAGCCAATAAAAGGGGAAAAATCCAACCAGAATGTCAGAATATCATTTTCCCCTTAAAGTACTAATTTCTTTTTCCTACGATTTTTTTTCCCCCTGGAGGAACAACCAGATTAAAAATGCAACCACCTTCAGAAAGACCCTTAGACGAGGCTGCAAAGGCGCGCAGTGCAACGGGCGCCCGGGACAGGGCGGGGGTGCCGGTGCTCGCTAGCTGCCCCCTTCCTCGGGCTCGCTGCAGGGTGACGGCACCGAGGAGGCCTTGGACTCGCCGTCGCTGTTGCATTCGGGCCTGCACGGAGGGCCGGCTGGGGCCTCCTGCCCCTGCGCGTGGCGCTCCAGCAACTCCTGGAGGTGCTTGATGTAGCCGATGGCGGCGCGGAGTGTCTCCACCTTGCTGAGGCGCTTGCCCGCCAGCTCCCGCGGCAGATGGTCTCGGAGGCGCGCGTACCCTTCATTCACGCAGCGCACGCGTTGCCGCTCGCGCTCGTTGCGCTTGCGGAGGAAGGCGGGCTCGAAGGCGCCGTCCAGCGGCAGGGGCAGGTACGGTCGTCTCCGGGCGCAGCACGCGTCATCCAGATGCACGGGGACCCTGAAAGGGTCCCTCAGAGGGAGGCGGGACAGGGTCCCTGGCAGGCTCAGGGGCACCGGGTGGAGGTGGTACGGCAAGGTCAGCAGTCCGGCTGGTTTCCGTTTCTCCATCCTTCCCCGACAAGCCAACAGATCACCCAAGAAGTTAGTCTGTCAACAGAGAATAAGGTTGCAAATCTTCAAAGCGGAGATGACGGTCCATTCAGACTGCCTGGCGCAGAAGGTCTCTTTTGGGAGAAGTTTCTGGTCCAGAAGCTACGTTCCAGAACAGGCTTCAAGGAAACTTTGCATGATTTCGTAAATTCACTGCACTCCTCGATCTCTTTATAAAGTTCCAGACGGAGGTACTAGGCGAAGATTGAAGAGCGCTAATCCACACTTCAAAACCCCGTCTTCCTCTCTGATCTTCTTCTTTCAAAAAATAACAAAAGGGGTTCCTCTGCTCCGTCCCCCAGCCTGGAAATGTGAGCGCACACCAAACAGAGTGATCTTCCGACGCCACCTAAGGTTTACAATTACTGTAATCCACTGATCTGGGTCTTCAAGAGCACAGGAATCTTCAAGGATTCAGAGGAGCTCCTCCCAGGAACCAACAGACCTCCTGGCGGCTGAGCGAAAGTTTACCAGAGGCTTTCTCCTTGAAAATCAAAACTTGAACTGCCCTTTGTGGTTTCCGGCGTCCAGAGCTAATGGAAAGGGCTTTTAGATTGTTTGCAAACTTACACTTGCTCTTTCATTTCTGGGGAGGTGGAGGGAAGACCTCATCAAAAGAAAGACTGCTCCCTTGTGGTTATAAAATGTGTCAAATCAAGGACAACCCTGGGGAAGGCTCGAGAGTTTTCTTCTCCAAAACCAAATCTTTAGAAAACCCAATTAGGCATTGTTTGAAGGGAACAGGAATGAAATACACTTTTTGCAACAAATGTAAGGGTCTGCTTATTATATTCCAAGTTATGGTACATGCAGGGTGCTTTAAGTATTTGTGCTACTTTTCAGGAGCGAATCCAAAGACTGAAGAGGAACAAACACCTTTCGCCAGAGTTGTATCTCCCAGTGCTTACTGTAAACACAGTTTAAACACTGCTTTCCGACCTCTTCTAATCCCACCCAGGATATAAGGACATCATCTTTCCATAGTGTAAAGAGTATATATTTCTATTGTATTCTGTCTTACAAAAAAAAAGATGCAATTTATTTTCCCCCTTGGGGGCAGGAAAGCAACATTTGAAAGGTGGCTAGCCCCAATTCCAAGGAGAAACGATGAGGCTTTGAAGAGTTTTCTTTTTAACACACAACCAAAAAAATGAATAATTAATCCGCCAGTGTTGGTGAAGGGCTTTGAAGATAAAAGTGTCATTAAAAATCCAACTGTACTGGTTAATGTCAAAGACCGTGTTATCACACCGAAAAATCAGATTTCCTGTTCTGCGAACCAGCACATTAAAGGCAGCTTCTACTTGAAAAGTCCAACTTAAAAACAAGAGAAGCAAAAACCCCCTGCATTTATGATCAGACTTTGTACCTACTCCTCCGGGGCCAAGGTGTCGCCCTAACATGTTTTTTTTTTTTTTTTGACAAGTCCTGTACTCCCTGTTTACTCTAAGTGCTCTGCCCGCAGCAACTGGAAAAACACTTCCATCAAGGCAAATAAAATAGAAATAATTATTCCTTTCAGGCAGATGTCAGTCGCATTTTTATAGGCATAACTTTCCATGAGGCTTGTTCCAGCAAACAAGCGAATGTCATCTTAATTTCTCAGTCGAGTTAGATCAGGAGAAAGTCCTTCCCGTTGGGAGAAACGCCTACCAGAGAGGCGGATGGACGATTATATCACAAGGTGCTTTTTTTTTGTTGTTGTGTCAAAGATACTGACCTTTATTCTAAGAGTGACAGGAAATAAATGAAGTATTTGAGCAGGGAGTTGAGGTAGTAAATTTGTTTTACAAGAAGATCACTGTTTGCAGAGTGGAGGATGGACTGATTGGGGTGGGGAGCAAAGGGAAGAACAGTTAGAAGGTATGTTTCATCCTCAGATCGGCAAAATGAAAAAGGTCTCTAACATCCAGGGCAGGCAAAGATTTGGAGAAGGGGCAGAGGCATACACTGCTACATGCTTTTGGGAATGTAATTATTGAAATTAATACTGCCCAGCCCTGGCTGGCGTAGCTCAGTGGATTGAGCGCGGGCTGCAAATCAAAGTGTTGCAGGTTCGATTCCCAGTCAGGGCACATGCCTGGGTTGCAGCCAACGGCCCCCAGCAACCGCACATTGATATTTCTCTCTCTCCTTCTCCTTTCTCCTTCCCTTCCCTCTCTAAAAATAAATAAATAAAATTAAAAAAGAAAAAGAAATTAATACTGCCCATCACGTATTCTTTGGCCCAGAGATCCCTACAGTTTTGTCCAAAATGAATGCACCAATATGGATTTCTAGTACACTAATATCTATCGCAGCATTGTTTGCAGTGATTTTCTAAAAGAAAAAAGGAAACAGCCTGAATGTCCATCAATAGGAAAAGAATCAATCCTTTTAGGATATTATGATATTATTAAAAATAATAAGTTAGATCTACACATAAGAACTTGCAGAGATGTCCATAATGTGTTAAGGGAAAAAGAGCAAACTGCAGAGTGATGCATGCAGATTGAAGTCAGGACGAACTAGCTTCCATGACACGTGTCTCCTTACACATGTTTGAGTGAGCACGGACAGTGAAATGGAAAGACAAACAGTGAACTTCTGCCACTGGTCACTTTAAAAGAGTGGCGTTGGGGATGGGGTGTGTTTATTTTTCCTTATGGATGTCTCTACTCTTTAACTCATCACAAAAAAACCACATTATTTTTGTATTTTTTTAATGTAATGGGGTTTAAAATAGTAAGAGAAGGTATAGAAAAACGTAAGGGAAGCCTTGATCTGACCCAAAGCAACAGACTTATTATTATAATTTAAAGCTCTTGGATGAGGTTTTCTGGCTCTTTATAAACTTGTCTCAGAGAATAAATACCGAAAGACTAAGTTCCTCCCCTCTGCCCCCACTAACACCACAATCTAAAATTGTCACATCCTGACTCAGGGTGGTCTTTGTGCAGGGTCTGGGCAGTGCCATGATGTATCTACGTGGTCACAAAGAAGGCTGATAAAAGTTTTTCTTACGCTTTTTGAAGGCGTAAATGCATTGGAAATAAGTGGTTTTTCCAGTGAGGAGCATTGTTTCACTCACACGCTGTGAACGTGGTGGTGGGGGGCTGCCTTCTTTAAGACAAAAGAGATCAAAAGAGGGGATTCTCACTCCTAATCATTCTCCAGTCGGTTTTGACCAGACAAACGTACTCCCCAACTTTAAAGATGTCCCATGTGCATGAGACTGGCTAGATCGATCTACAGGTGTGCTGAACCTCCAAGGACGCCGGGACTACGTTTGTGCAGTCCTGTGGGGATCTGCTTGTGAAAGTGGGAATGCGAGTCCCTCACGATCAGGTTCGGTCGGTTTAAAGGTATCTCTAAGGCCAAGGAAAACTTCCACCCCTGAAACTCAGACCCGTCCTTCGTCACCTGCTTGAAACAGGAGAGGTGAAGACACTTGGATCCGCACTTGTAAATACTTGATATCACGTTATAGACTGGGGTTTCCTAGGCTCACGGCACCGAGGCGTGCCTCGTCTTGGGGCCCCGTATCTGCAATGTGCAGCGGCTGTCACGAGAGGGAACAGGGACGCATGCGCAGTAGTATGACCTCTGAGAGCAGTCCGATTTCCCAGCGGTGTAGTTCACTAAATCTCAAATTGATTATCAAACACAATTCTATCCCATTAGTCTGTTTCTATGTAGCCCCCGTGTAAACTAGCTATATCACCATGTGCGACATCCACCAGGAGTCTTCTTAGGGACAACTAAAATACCGAGATTCGCTAAGACAACCAGGGGCCACATGTAGCACCAGATTCACTTGGAGGGATAAAGATCAGGGACAACAGCTTAGGAGCAGGGCAGAACAGGCATTCCCCATCCCTGGGAGTACTTGTAACGATCACACAGCTGCTCCTTCCTACCCTGCCTGCAGCCTAGTGACAGCTCGGGTGCAAGCAAAGGAGACTTCCACCAGATCCCTGCGGCAGCTGCCCCGACTGGGAGCCAGCGTTTCCAGTACCCACCTCGCAGACACGGCTTCCAGCGACCCACCAGGGCCCAATTACAGAGTCTTCCCGCTCCGGAAAGCCCACAGCTATGCTCTCCCATCGGGTAATTACAGTGTTGCCAGTCCAAATGCAATTTACCAATCAGGTAATTGGTCTCGTATAAGTAATGCTTGTTGGCCAAGGAAATAGTGGACAATTCTGACTTTATCAGGCTTCCGAGGGACAGGTAAGAGGAAGTAAACTGAAGGTCGAACTGCCCTGCAGAAGGGTGAACGTTTATTAATCCTCTGCCCGCAGCACTGCATTCTACTTTAAAGGTAATATACGTCACAGCAAAATGTGAACGGCCCATATTGAGATACAATTTAGTACTGCTTATTGCTGTTCTTCTCAAACGCTGTTTGCATTTTAACCTTGCCTAGGTGGTCTCTTTCATCACATAGAAATGTGAAATTTTGGTGTAGTCAAATACACTCTTTCCTTACGGTTTTTGTCTTTTCTTTCTTATTGAAGGTGACTTTCTCCAACGACAGCTTTCACAAGGCTTTTACCTGGCCATGTGGCACCTCGGTGTGAATTAGAGAAAGGACCAAATTCAGGGCTTGGGGAATGGATGGCTGACTACAGTTCACCTGGAAGAGCCACTGAGCAAGGATGCCCAAATTTGGAAAAGAAGAACAGAGAATGTCACCTGCTCTTTTAATATCCAGGAGAAACAAACAAACAAACAAACAAACAAACAAACTTAGGATTCTAATTGGAATTGTGTGAAATACACAGATTCATTTGGTGGGAATTAACTTTTTAAAAAACATTGAACTCTCTTATATGAACATAGAACTCATTTACTCAGATCTATTTTTCCCCTTTAATAAAGTTCCACAGATTTCTTCATGTAGATCTTACATGTTTCATGCTATATTTATCTCAAGATGTCTCACAGGTATGGTTGCTTTTGTGAGTGGAATATTTTTCCATTCTTCGAAGCTGTTGATTTATTTTATGTTAATCTTTAATCCAGTCAGACATTTCTGTGATCTCTCTTATTAGTTCTAGTGGTTTTTGAGGTAAAATCTACATACAGTTAAATGCACATATATCAAATATACAGTTCAACGTGCTTTGTTAAAGGTATACACTTATAAAACAGCATCCCACTGAAGATAGGTCTAATCATTATTTTTGAAAGATGATTTTGCAGCATTTTAAACTATAATCATATTGTCTACTAATACCAATAGTTTTGTTTCTTCCTTGCTAATATAACTCATTTATTTTTGTTATTAAATTTCACTGCCTAAGATCTTCAATCCAATGCTAATTGTAGTAATAGCTAGCATCCTGGTGTTTTTTTTTTTTTTGTATGGGACAGCTTCTAATGTTTCACCAAGTAGAAGATATTTTTTATCAGATTAAGGGAATTTTCTTCTACTCTGCATTTGCTAAGAGTATTATCAGGAATGGCTATTAAATTTTATCAAGTGCACCCCTAAAGACAATCACACATATTTTATTCTTCACTTTATCATTGCAGTACATTACAATAATAGCTTTGCTAATGTTAAGCCTTTTTACATTCCTGAG